ACTACTTAGGCTTACCAATCCTAGGGATATCAAGGTGGCTTCTATTTTTCTGTTTAGTCAATTGATGTTGCTCTTTGCAAACTTTCCTAATCATGCCAAAGTATACAAATGTATGAATTCCTTTACTCAAAGCTTTAATCATAAAAGTCACAAAAAGTTATGCATGGAATAAAAGGCAAGGAAAACATTCATTGAATATGATAATGAGCATGAAAATAGTTTGTTTGTTTGTAGTTATGCACAAAGCTACACAATGGGCTATCTGTGCTCTGCCCACCACAGGTATTGAAAAACGGTTTCTAGCGTTGTTAAGTCCGCAGACATACAGCTGTGCCACTGGGGGACCATGAAAATAGTCCCACTAGTCAAGAAAAAGATTTTTCATACAAAGGTACTTCTAGTAACAGCAGTTTGTAAAAAATAAAGGTACTACTAATGATGAAGTTTCTCTAAGCATTAAAGGCTCTGAAAGTAAATAATAGAACTCAGATACTTATTGACTCTCTTTCTAAACAACATGAAAGAAGCACAGTTGCTGATAATGTTTTAACTACTCATAGAAAAGTAATAACAGTTAGCTGGAAACCAACATTCTCCATACAAATCCTCACCAATGCCACCAAGTACACTGACAAAAAATTCAAAGAAGCTATTGCCATCGAACAACTACAACCACAGATGAATAGGGACAAAGGATGGCACCTATGATTTTTATCATTATTTCTTTTTATCCTAACTTTTTATTTTTTCAATCTATAAGTTGGATAGAACTTTTGTTTACTACAGGTAACAGTTAATTATTTCAACAACAATCTTTGCTACTTAATATGTCAAATGCATGCTATAGATTTGATTAGAATTTATTATATAAACCATTTGAAGCTTTGTACTGACAGTTACTGTATGTTCCTGTATGCTCCTAAAGAAGCTGTAAATTGGAATGCTGACTGTCCAATTAAAGAAAAGCAACAATTTGGTGTTATAAGGTCAGTTATTTTTAGTATTAAAATATTCTTCTACCCTAGATAGTTCCATGTGTGACAGATATTTATTCAATTGGCTACTTAACCGAAGCTTGGGTTAGTGTAAAAAATAAAGTATAAACAAAAAAAAATAGATTAGGTTTGAGTGTGTATGCATAAATGATGAGTTTAAATGACCTTATCATCGGCAAACCCTCATACTTTTTGCCTATAGCCTGTGGTACAGAAGAAATAAACCTCAGAAATCCTAACTGAGGGAATATGTGTAATTTGGGAATTTAAAAAAAATCAAAGGCCATGTCATTAATAGTAAAATAATGAACATCTTTTACATGTTTTATGTTAATTACCATTGATCAATTAAGCATGGGCATTGAAGTGCTAAAAAGAAATTTAAAGAATACCATTTAGTGTTTCATAATATTTAAAACTACAAAAATAAGTTCTAAAACTGGTTTCACCTGTTTTATCATTCTCACAATGATAGTTGACTTCACATAAAGGCAAGCACAAACTCCTACTTTACTCATAGATCATTTTGAGCAGACCTTGACATAGATTTTTAACTGCATCTTCATAACATTCACTCATTAACAGGATTAGCAGTTAAGCATTTTTTAAATTTGAATCTCTGAACAGTTTTGAACTTTATTATGAAGACAATTTAGTTCCTTAATTGGATTCACATGAAATAATAAACATATCAGATTAGATCTATATTGTGACCAACTTGGTATTGCAGTTTAAAGTAATATCCACTCAGCAAGAGCAATAAGATACTCTCAGATTTTAACTGAAAAGCATTTTTTTAGCATTTTTTGCTAATATTATGAAAAAATGCCATAGACTGTAGTATCTGCTCTACAGAAATAGTAAATTTAGCTATTTTATCGTATTTGATATAAGTATAGATACTGTTTTATTATAAAACAAACTTATCATTGACCATCCACTGTGCCTCAGGCAGAACTGTTACTCATGTCTAAAATCAATCTAATCTGTTTTGTTGATGAAAATTAGACATTTTTTAACCATCAAGATCATTAATTTTTTCCTTTATGTGATGTAAAATAAATTACCCAAGAGATTATATCTAAATGAATAATAAACAATGTAAATAACAATGATTTTTTGATTTCTTGATAATCTGACATTGTCCATATTAAAAAGAACAGTTTAGAGAATATTTTCATTTTTTGAAGAGCCTATTATTTCAAAAATCTTCAGAGCATAAACACATAAAGATATGATAAAGTTTGGTTCTATATATGTTTGGAATCATAATTAAGTGAGCTGCTTTATATTTTATTTTTATGTAGATAGCCAAATTGTATCGACTTAAAACAAACCATGAAAATGTCACTTCTCCCAAACTGTAAAATTGCTGTGGTCTTCACAGTTTTGTGGTTTCCATCCATGGTTTTGAATGAAGGTAAGAGGTCCAACTATTTTAGCTCTCAAACTTAGCTCCTTCTACAAACACATCTTTCCTATGGCTGACAATGGTTGGACATCTATTCTCCAGGAGTTTTCCTTGTGCTGTTATGGACAGATGACTTCAAGTATTTTTCTATTTTATAAACCATGGAACCAATGAGAATGTAACATAATTGGATAAAGTTAATGCCATTAGTTTTTTGTCAGTCTTGCAGATAATGTCCCTTTCAGGCAGATTGGAAATTACATCATGTTTGTCTTCCTGGATTGGTGAATTTCCCCTATTCATGAGTGGCTTCCATCATCATGGAACTGATACTCAGCTAGCTAACGAGGCTCTTCTTCATGATAATTCGGTTTTTCTTGAACAAGTCCAGGCCAATATGGGTGGTAACATTATCATGGAACTGATACTCAGCTAGCAAATGAGGCTCTTCTTCATGGTGATTCAGTTTTCCTTAAACAAGTCCAGGCCAGTGTGGGTGGTAACATCGTCATGGAACTGATACTCAGCTAGCTAACGAGGCTCTTCTTCATGATGATTCGGTTTTTCTTGAACAAGTCCAGGCCAGTGTGGGTGGTAACATCGTCATGGAACTGATATTCAGCTAGCTAACGAGGCTCTTCTTCATGGTGATTCGGTTTTTCTTGAACAAGTCCAGGCCAGTGTGGGTGGTAACATCATCATGGAACTGATACTCAGCTAGCTAACGAGGCTCTTCTTCATGGTGATTCGGTTTTTCTTGAACAAGTCCAGGCCAATATTGGTGGTAACATCATCATGGAACTGATACTCAGCTAGCTAACGAGGCTCTTCTTCATGGTGATTCGGTTT